CATAAACCATAAACCATAAACCATAAACCATAAATATTAATCAGTCATAACCAAACAGGTACTGCCAAAGCACTGTAGATGTTCTCCTCAGGATCTGAATAATACTTATGAATGAAAATATCAAGAAGAGGAAATGTTTTGGCCTTGCTCAATAGTACTATTGAGTCCCTGAATTTTTAATTTGTCTTGATTTTATATTAGCTTGTTCAAGTGGAAAGCTGCCTTATTAGCATGCTTGCTAAACCACACTAGAAATAGTATTTGGACTTTCTGAACCATGTTTCCATGGTGTTTCATATATGGAGTTGTGAATGAAACAAGTCTATTTTAGGGCCAAACTATCACAAATCTGGGGGGAAAAACTCTGAGGAAAAGAAGAAGACAAAATCCTCTAGTATGGTGTACAATATGTATGGTGTCGCCCACAGCTGAGGCTGCAAGGCTTATCAAGACTGTTGGGTTGGGATTACAAGAACCAGCCTCAAACTGCTGCTGCCAGATACCTTTTCTTGGTTAGACATCTTATTTTGAATGCTACTTTGACTTCTTGATTTGGACTGCTGAGGCTCCAGAGCAGTGTTTCTCAAACTTGGTAACTTGAAGATGTGTAGATGGATAGCTAGGGAATTCTGAAAGTTGAAGTCCATAAAATCAGTTAAAAAAAATGTGGTTGTGCTAATATTTTTAGAACTCTTGAAAATGAAAATAGATTTTGGACATGTTGCCAGGGACCCAAAGGAATGGATTGTTGCTCTTGAAAAAGTTGTGAATGGTTAATTAAAAAAAAACTTCATTTATGGCAATATGATGTAGCAAAGAGTATGGAAATATTACACTACAAACTTTCTCAGATTTGTATTTAAAAGGAGATAGAAGTACTACAGGAGTTTTATTCTTTGGTCCTCATAAAACAAAAGTACATTTTTTATCAAGAAGATTTTAAAGTATCTAAAACCAATCTAGGAAATCTGCAATATGACATAGCAGTTGTTCTGGGGATTGTCTAGATGTTGTGCAAGAACTAGAGGTAAAAATTTCACTAGATGCAGAAGTGAAACAAATTTTTGGATTTATTATTGATGTCTTCTCTTTAATCATGCACAGTAATGAAAACTAGGGGGGACCCTATCCTAGTTCTTTAAATGCTATGCAAGACATAAAATGATTCTGACCAAGAATATAGAACATCACTTACTTAATCCAGATAAAAATTATTGATTTTCTGTATGAATACATACAAGCTGACCAAACAGTGACTTCTGTTACTCCTGCTAACGATAAAACCACTGCTTAAATTTTCTGCTTGATAAGGGCCTTTGTTTACTTACCAGATCATAGCAGGCCCTGTTCAAGACAAAGAGATGTAACTTTCTCCCATTCCTTTGGCTGCTACAATTAAGAGCCTATTATTGCAGCAGGACATAATAAAGAAGTAAGGTAATTATGTCTCAAGAGAAATTTTTTGCGGCTCAAGCAGGCCAAAAATTTGAAAGGTTTGGAAAACTAAGCTCTTGACTTTGATCTAAACTTATTTCCTTGGGGGGGTGGGGGTGAAATTGACTGCCCTGTAGCGACAAACCCTACTTATTTCTCACTGAGTTCAGGTTGAATACAACTTTGCATGAACTGCCTTTCTACACAGTACTTATGGACCACTAGGGACAACAGATGTAGAGTTAGCAAAGATACTTTGCATTTCAATCTCCTCTTTTGACTTTTGCATGTCTGTATACAGCATGTCTCCTATTAGATAGGGCTTTCATCCCTTCCTTAACACTCACTTCTTCTGTCCCTGACCTTTGCAGTTCAGATTTCCACTTAAGTGTGATTTTTTTCTCCACAAATGGAGAAGAGAGCAAAGTAGGCTTAGCTGTAGAAAGATTTAAGTAATTCAAGCATTACTTTCATGCCTCAAGAAAGCTTTATTTAAAAATGGATACTTTTCTAAAACTTTAAAACTTATGCGCCTAATTTTAGTGGTTTTCTCTAAATGGTTCTGTTACGATAATGTTATTTTATTTACATTACCAGGTATTGGGGGGCTAAGAAGCACTAGCTTAGCAACCCCAAAATCTATGTTCCTATGTAATGTTTCATTTGATAGCTTAAAGAATGATCTTACCTGTTTCCCATCCAGTGTGTAGAGACGCTTAACTACTCCTGAATCAAGTTTGATGGCATCAGTAATATCAGTGAGAACCTGCTCAAATGAATGTGCTGTTTTTTTGTTAAGTAGAATCCGAACTGCTTTGCGTGGCTTCACACCACTCCTGATGATTGTGACCAGTTTAGGTCTAATGAAATCCTTGTTCTCCTTTGAATCTGAAGGACTTCCTTTGGCCGTGGCTAGAGAGGGCACTGAACGGGCAGCTGAGGTGGTCTTAACATTGACGGACCAATTAGGATTTACATTCTTTGTGTATTCCAGCTTCTTAAAAGGCTCTATTGAACCACACACATAGCTCTCTCCTGAAAAAAAGAGAAAAGGGATGGGTGGGTAGAAAGAATTACAAATCATTAACTCAGGCACGTACAGTTCTTTATACAATCATTCAAGTTACTTCCTAAAGATTGACAGTGAAGACATGTTACTATTCCAAAGTCTTTACTTATCAAATTTGTGGGGAAATGGTCCAGCTTGCATAGTAAACTACATTTTGCCTAATCATGAATAAAACACAGTTGTACTCATATAACTCTTAAGCCAAAATGCAATAGACCACCTAATAGCTTAGTTTGTTGCATTAATTCAGTCATTTTCTAGAAAGTTGGACATTTTGAAGGAGGAAATGCAGAGATTACAATAGTCAAAAGTTATGGAATTTCACTATTTGTGAGAAGAAGAACCTGTAATGACTTTAGAGATCATATTGTCAGGTACATATTGTCATGGCTGAAGAGTTTACTCAAGCTTATAGCACAGGAATCTTCTAGACTGACAATTTGCACCTAGGTAAGACTAGATAAGGTTCAACAGCATTCAAGGGGGATCAGACTTTGCCCCCTTGTGCCCATGCAGGGAATCCAGGCTAATTCCCCATTTGACTCCTCCCTCTGGCTCAACCAGCAGTTTCTCTTCCGTGTGTGTGTCTGTGTGTGTGTGTGTGTGTG